CACTAAGCTTTGGCAAGCTATAACTCTTGATTTGACTATCTACTTGGTACAAATTTTTTTATACAAATATCACTATATGTCTTTTATATGCTCAAAAAAATTCAGCCCAATCTAACTTACAAATTGTGAAAAAAAGTCCAAAAACCGCACTAATGTTACTTGGCTACCAACTTGAAAGTTGATGCAAATGTTCCAATAGTAATTTCTCTTTTTTCAACTATTTACATCAACTCAAAATTGGTGTATGGCTTGATCTTAAAGTCTTTTACTATTATACCAAATTTCACCTTAATCCAACTAATAGAACGTTAAATATCATAGAAACCCTATCCAACTCCAAATTGGCAACTTCTAATATCCTCTTGTACCAAAACCTAGATATCTTTCAATTGCATTACTACATTGATACAAAATTTTATACACACTTAGCACATCTAATCAACTAAGTACTGGCAAATTTTGAACTATAGATGTGATACCAATTGTACGAATTAGCTAAGAGTGTTAGCCCTAGTTATATTGCATAGAATCCAAATCACCAATACAAACTTTGACTTTGAACAATGATTACAAAGATATTTCAAACCTTCTAAAAACAAGCCTTACACCTTTAAATCAAGCTTAAAGCTGATTCATTAACTCTAATTTTTGAACTTCAAATGCTTCTCTATTTTATCTTAAGTGGTCATTTTAATAACTAGAAGTTTGATTTTGACCATGTTCCACAAATAGTCAACCTTTGAATATCAATCTAACCTATCTTAGAAATTTTTTAGTCTAGTTCTATCTTTAGCTAAACTATAGTATCAACCATGTTAATTATTTATCTCTTATAATCTGATTTTATCAATTTATAGCCTTTTAAAGTAATAAAAGAATTTCTACAACCTAAAAGGTAAAATTACCAACCAAATTTTAATCTATTAGCTATTAAGATAATAAAATAAGCTAAAAGACTTTTATGAAAAGCCATATTGAAATATCTTAAATTATTATTAAATAAAAATGATTAAATATTAATTAAAATTTTATTTTAGATTATATTTTCATCATATAGTTATATTACAATACAATATTGGGATGTCTTTCCAACCAACCTATCTAGTGGCATGTTTCTTGATCAAGGTATTTCTTTCTGAATAGAACTATTATTTGGGCCAAATCAATAAGTCGGCTAATTTATTGCCTAGCACCAAATGAACTTGAAGAGAAACAAAATATATTAGACAAATTCTTAGAGAAAGGTTTCAATTAAAAAAGTACATCACCATAGAGAACACCTGTAATCTTTACACCCAAGAAGGATAGTGGACTTCAGCTTTGCATTGACTATCAAGGCCTCAATAAGCACACTATCAAGAATGCTTGTCCACTTCTATGCATTGGATAATCTTCGTGATCGACTTTGAGGTGCAACCATCTTTAGCAAATTCGATCTTTGGAGTGGCTCTTGGCAGACACCTAACACAAGAGAGGATATAAAAAAGAAGGTATTTTGTATGCACTAAGGATATTTTGAATAACTTGTTTTATCTTTTGGCCTCACCAAATATCTAGCCTCTTTCATAGGTTACATGAACAAATTATTTTGCGACTTTTTGAATAAATATGTAATTATCTTCATCAATGATATCCTAATATATAATAAAACTTTTGAGGAGCATAAGCAATACTTACATAAAGTAGTGCGCCAACAACAAGATAATTGCTTCTATTATAAGTAATCAAAGTGTAAATTTTAGAAGTCAGAAGTTATCTTTTTGGGACATATAGTACTCTCCAAAGGTGTGTGCATGGAATAAGATAAGATAAAAGTAGTAGAAGATTAACCAACCTCTAAGGATGCTTTTGAAGTCCGCTCATTTTTAGGCCTTGATAGATATTATTATTATTTTATATAGTAATTTGCACATATTTCTACCTCATTGATAAGCTTATTAGTGAATGGTGTCCTATTTGAATAGAAACTAGAGCAGTAAAGCGTCTTTGATAGGTTGAAGGAGGCTCCTATTACTTCTCAAATATTACAATTATATAATCTCAACCTTCTATATATATTTCACATTGATGCTTCTAACTTTGCTATTGGAATGGTCTTTTAACAAGACTCTGGTAGGGGCCTTCAACTTATAGCATATGAATTGCGCATCCTTAAAAGGATAGAATGCAATTACTTTGCACGTGATCAAGAGCAACTAGCAATCATACATGCTACAAAGATATGGCAATACTACCTATTAGAAAAGCTAATGACTGTTCGGACTAACCATCAGTCTTTCCTACACGATTTGCATCTAAAAAATATGAAATCATGATATTATCATTGAGAGGAACAATTGGAGCTTTTTGATATTTGGCTTGAATACAAGCAAGGGCAATAATATACTATGTCGGACACCTTATTACATAGACCAAATTTGAAGCTCAAATTGGAGGACAAGGCAGAAGTTACTATCATTAGTAATATTAATTTGAATCTAATCAAAGGAATGAAATGAAAAGAAGCTATGCATTGGAATATTTATTTCAAAATTATTATTATTTGGCTGAAGATAGGTGATATGCAATATTAAGATTATCATCTTAGTGATAGATTGATCTACCTCAAGAAGCAATTTTATATACTTGACAATGTTATACTTTAGATGCGTATATTTTAAGAAGGACATAACATCTTAATATCTGGGCATTTAAGGCATAAAAAGATTTTAAAATAGATCTCAAGGACATAATTTTGAGTAGATTTGAATCGTGATGTTTAAGCTTTTATATGCTCTTGCAAGTCATGCCAACGTAATAAAGCATGCAATGTAGCATCTCTTGGACTATTGTAGCCAATTCCACTATGTACAACATATTAAGAGCAAGTGACCATGGACCTTATTACGTGTTTGCTGCAGATACCTCACAATCATATAACAATTGCTATCTTTATAGATTGACTCTTAAAGCAACTTCATTTAGCCACAATATGCTCAAATATTGATGCCTTAGCATTTACATGGATCTTCTTTGATATTATCTTTTGTCACTATGGATTATCTTGTATCATCATTTCAGATCAAGTATATCATTTTTGATGTCGCATACTGCCTTGAACTTTCGCCACGTATTCCAATCCATCTAGTCTTCCATGTTTTGCAATTCAAGGAATTTCATACCAAGCCAAGGCGCTATTTGGACCAACACCAACTACCACCACCATTACCACTAGTTATAATTGATGACCAAGAAGAGTATGAAGGAGACAAGATTTTGGAACATTGCTACTTTTGCCATGGCAATAGACGTCAACAACTTCAGTACAAAGTCCTCTAAAAAAGATTATTACATCCACAATGCAACGTGGGAACTTGCATAGAATCTCATCTATTGCAAAGAATTAATTTGGAGATACCATTGACAGCAAAATGAAGACGTTTAGTATTAATAGAGAGTGATTAACTGTAGCATTGTATAGATAAGATATTTATATTGTTGATACATAAGAATAGATAGTTGAAGCTATGTTTAAGAAGTTTATAGAAGTTTCTAAAATTAGAGCTAGATTAGTGGACTATATGGGATCTACCACAAAACATTCTAAAAAGAACTTAGGACAGTTATCTAAGTGGAGTCCATCATGGAACATTCTAAAAAGAGCTTAGGATGGTTATCTAGATGGGATCCATTATTAGGAACATATTAAAAAGTTCCAAGATGGTTGAATATAGTATAAATAGGACTGGCTAGAGCCATTTGGGCATCTTTTTGTTTAATTCTATTCTATTTTATTTTGTTATAATATACTCTCTCTTATGGTGTAATAGAATTTATGTTACTGTGGATCAGAAGGGTCTTAGATTTTTGAGATAGTCTAATCCAGTTTCACAAAGATCACAAAGACTAAAGACTCTTGAAACAAGACCGGAAAAAAAAAAAAAAAAAAAAAAAAAAAACATTGATAAGAATAAAGAAGCCTTTACTCTTACATCCATACATACTATCTAACTAGAAGTTATATGGAAATATTCTATACGAGGTTTGACATGTATCCAACTTACAAGACACATGTCTAATTTATAAGATATATTTTCTATACATATACCACACAACCAACTTAAACCACAAGTTGCCAACATGTGCAACACATAGCCAACTTGTTGGCTAAGTTTTTAATCTATCAACTAATTACAAATACTTATAAAGTCAAATTTGTGCCTACAAAACATTAAAGAAGATCCTCCATAAGATATTATCCATGTGTTTTGCTTCCACCCTAAATGCAAAAACTTCATTTTATTCTACATTTGATTCACTTCCATCCTATCCCAGAGCAAGATGCATACTAAAATGAACTCAACCTTCGAGCTCTCCCATTCACTACATCCTCCCAATTTTTTTCCCAACTTAATTTTCTTCCATTGACGCCCAAAGTGCTGTCGAAACAGCTGCAGTTTCGGTAAAAAACGTGACTCGGTTCCTGCTCTACCATCTCTCAGCAGGTAACTTTCGAACGTCAACTGACAAGAGCTCAAGTGAGCAGGATGACGTCGATGAAAAATAAGCATGTCCACACGCATGCTCCTAGGTTAATTATAACTCCAGACCTCTCAATGTCTATGATCCTTCTCCAAGTTCAACCTTCTCAGGCACGTATCAACAGGACGATAGAATAACCAGATTGTAATTTCCTAGGCAAGAATTTACGATCACAAATAAAAACAGGGCAGATTACTTTCACATCATTGTCCACCTACTATCGCGTTGTACCCAAATCGGCCATGGCGCGAGAGACTAGTGCTTGCGTACCAGATACATGAATATTCCAATCACCTTGAGAAATGTTAGTGTCCAGATCACCCACAAACGAAGTGACTCCACTCTATATGCCAGACAGCTGCGAACAAAATAAGCAAAAACATCAACAAAGCATAGAACAACGCATTCTATCTGCACTTAAGTACCACTGCAAGTCCGTCCATGTACATTCATCCTCACATTTAGTCCAGACACACAAATCAGAAATAAATCTAAGCATGTACGGATAGAAACGTGTACACATCTTTACCTACACTTGCGTAGTCAGAAAATGTATTGCATAGCACCTACCTCTTAAAGCAGCCAATAATTCTTCCTACGTCCTCGTCATCTAACCTAACGCCACCCTACCACGAACACACAGTTCTCGCTCGATCCACCTCCTAATCAACTGATCGCCTCCACGTTTGGCATCTACAATAACTACCTAATACATGCGCCTCGCACATTTCTTACCGTTACAGTCCTTCTCGTAACAGTACGTATGATGCCACTGTGACTGCTAACTGCAACTGTTCATCGATCGCCAATCGCCCCTTTCAGACTTTCAGTGAAGAGACTGACAGGGCAGTCTTGGCCATCTGCTCCCGTCGGAACAACTCTACCAAGCTACTCGAAATTTACGACATGCCCGGCTTCAATTGCACAACCCTTGCCTCCACATTCTCATGCCTCCTCACAGCTCCACAGCTACGTCCACCAATCATTGGTTCAGAAGCTACATCGCTCCACAAGCTCGTTCACATAAACACGGCACTATCCGAAGCTTCTGGGGCTCCGAACGCGCGATACACACTGAATCCATCTTTAAATCACCTACTCAGCTCTCAAAGCTCTCGCGAACATCGTTCAGCTGGCATGTCCCAGATCTCCACAATATGAGACCGCGACCTGCTCCAGCTCCCCGAACATGGAAAACCGTCAATTCCAGGCTTCCACCACATGACAGGGACCCCCCCCCCCCCCGCCCTCTCTCCCACGCACTCAACTACAGGTATATGTACATCGACCAGCCGGCACAGGCAGAAAAACTTCCCTAAAGCCGGAAATTACAGGATGTCTGAATAACATGGCACCACTATCTACGCAATAGCTGCTTTCTCCAAATTCCACTCATCCTCATTTGGGTAACGGCTAGCTGCAGATATTGCCTTCATCTACCATCACTCTGCCTTCAACCCCGCCCCCTCTCTACGTCAACTTGACGACACCGCTGCATTGTTCAGACCTTCCGCCCGATCTCTGCCATCGCCGCCAGCCTCCACCGACGTGGCATCCCCTGCTTCCGCTGAACCCCCAATGTCGTACTTGCACAGCGGACAAGACGCATTGATCTTGAGCCATTTATCAACACATTCCACGTGAAAATGATGTGTGCACACCAGCTCCCTCAACTCCACACCGTCCTTGTACTTGCCCAGGCAGATGCAACACACAGCATCGTCGGCGGACACCCATCTTTCCTTCTCTGTCCCAGCTGCCACCCACCCTCCCTCGCCTGCTCCCTCACTATCCGAATCATTGCCATCCTTATTTAATTTTGACTCGTTCGAAGCCTTCGCTTTGAACTTGTACGTCGGCAGGGCAGCAATCGCCTCTTGCGAGGCTCCTCGGGGCTGGTTCTGGTCCTCCCGAAAACCCAACAGTGCAATTATGCACGGCAAGCAGCAGCAAATAGTGGCGCAAAGAATAAAAGGCATCGCATATCCGATGCAGCTGAACGTAAGCAACACGATGCATAACCTGCCAAAACCCCACTCACAACCCTCTTACTGTCCATTCTTCTCCCCACAACCTTTGCAACTTCACTACCATCTCCGACCCACACCACAATTCACAGGCCACCGCCACAACCAACCAACCTTCCCACAACACCACACTGCGTCACCTACCTGTACAAATTTGGAGCGTCGTGTGCTGCCGAATGTCCACCAAATATCCAAACGTTGCCAACCACGAACCAAATCGCAAAAAAACAATCCAACGCAATCTTGAACCTCTCAACATAAATCCCAGTCCTGCACGCGCACCAAACATTTCTCAGACCACTCCCACACATTCAATAATATCGCCTCCCTACTCGTCCAACAACTTCACCACACACTTCACCTACACCAACCCCGAACCCTCACCACCTTCTCCGCTAAGTTCTACACACCCCAACTTCACATTTCTACGGAGTTGCCCAAACCACTGCTCTCACGGATTCCACTTCCAATTCCCTATCAACCACTGTCCATGTTCACGTCCATGCAAACATCCGGAACACCGTGACTCAGCTCTTCCACCACCACGACAAATCAACACCATCGACCTTGCATCCTGCAAATACTGCTCGACTTTCGTACCTCTCCCCGCTGCTACTTGACACTTGTCCGACAC